CTTCTCACACCTCTCGCAAAACGGTCGCGTATGCGACCGTTTTAAAACAAAGACTAGGGATAACCATCATCACACCTTCAGAATCGCTTTTGAAGTCAACAGACATCAGTCCAATAGATTTTTTTGGATTCGGGTACTTGAAACAGGGACTCTTCCAGCGGAAGGCGCGCATTTGGACGGACTTTGGAAAAAAGTTCAGGTGGAGTGGAACAAAGTCACACCGAAAATGGTGTCAAACGAGGCTTGTTCGGCAAACTAAAGGGCTTCACATTGAACCAATTACGAAAATTTACCAACGAAAAATAAAGCTCTAGGACAATTTTCAAAAGTGATTTCAGCCATCTGACTCACCCTTCTGTAACCATTATCCCTGTAGGTATCTGGGATTGGAATATTTTTTAACTACCTGAACAGACGTTGATGCATTTTATGTAGACTGGAATACTGTATGACTGGCAATAACTCAGCAATTTCACATGGACAAGCAAGAACATCTTTCTTAAAAGGTTTGACCATTGTCTTCCACGAAAATGAGTGAGAGCATATCAAGTTAAATAAAATATAAAATATAAAAACAGACAAACCTTAGTACTATTTAAACCATTAAAAACTTCTTTTTAATATGTTTGATTTTGTCAAGTACCGCTAATCTTTGAAAAAGCTACCCCAAAATAAATATGTAACCCCCACGTCCAGGGTCTATTTTGTCGTTCGTTAATTGTGGTTTTAACCCAGATTTCAAACTGATTTATGTATTCATTTGGATTGGACGTAGATCTCTTAAATATGCTTGAACAAGTAATTTCATGCACATTAGTCTAATTAGTTAAATCCATTTATCTATTTATTTGGACGATCCAACTGTTAAGGATGCCAAAATTGTTAAGCAGTATTGGATTACCAGGGGCCTGTTGCATAAAACGACATTTCGACAAATTGTCATGACATTATGACAATTGTCATAATTCCCGTTGCATAAAATTACAAATGATTATTACAGTGACAGGGAATTGTATCATTGTCATGACAGGAGATTGTCATCGAATTTTTAAAACCCCGTCTCATAAAACTTATATTGACATGGAATTGTCAAATTGTCACAAAAATTATGACACAGGTAGTTTCTCGTGTCAACGATAAAAAAATCACGGTTCTTCTTGAAAATTTAAGTAAAATTGCATATATATTTAATTTTGAGGACGGATATTGATTAATAGGGACTTTGCCCTTTAAACTTTGCATATTTAGGGTCAAAAAATGCTAATTTAAATTGAAAAGTGGATTGTCGTTAATTAGTTAAAAATCAAATTTGTTTCATTATTTGAGCGTGTTATTTATATGCGAACTTAGCCTATTAAATCATTAAAATAACAAACTCACGTAATGTACCATACAAAATTATCAAAAATGTTTTTAATTACTTTAGGAAATCCAAACAAAAATTTGCAATATAGAGTGTAATATCTCCGTAATTCTAAAACAAGCGAAGTGCAGCCACTGTTTAATTTTAAAAAAGCAAAATGCATAAAATTTAGAAGAACGACAGAAGATTTGTCTGTGTTTTTCTCAGAAAATTCTTTAATAATTCCATCAATTCTTTAAATTAAAGAGCCTAACGTGGTGAAAAACAATCAATCTTGAAACTCCCAAGAAATCTCCCAAGGAAATATGACCCCATTTGGGCTGGCCACACCCACTAGAAGGAGTAGGTAACATACATTTTTGTGCATGTAATGAAAATAGATACGAAGAATTGAAAGTGGGATTGACCGGAGTAGCAAATTTTTTATGGTTAAATTTTTATGGATTTTAATATTTTAGAAGGAGGAAAACCTCTAAAAATCCACTTTTTACCACAGATTTTTCCAAAATTTGTCAAAGAAAAATCCACTATTCACCATAGATTTTTCCGAAATTCGTCATAGGAAAATCCACTTTTTACCATAGAGTTTTCCGAAAAATATCATAGAAAAACTCGCAACTTTTTTTATTTAAAATAAACTAAAAACCTACAGTGTGCAGTGTCTAGATAGCCCGAGTCAGGGTGTATTTTGTCGACCAGTCCGATTATTTTTAAATATTAACCGTTAAAGAAAAAAAACAATTATGCAAATCCTGACAGGAGAATTTTCACATAATATTTATATAACCCTTCCCATTTCTGTGTTTGGGAGAGAAAATATATGTACATATGTATAGAAAATGTACAGAACAATAAACAATACTTATAAACTTAGGCTCGGACTACGCCTTTAGACGCTCCCAGCACCAGCCATAAGTCATATACAAGAAATTAATAAATTAAAAGCACGCTTTCTTCCTCAGGGTCGCATCCTGGCCATCTTCTTCATACTGGAACACGATTTTCCTTGTCCTCCTCCACGTTCTTCTCATTCGCACTCTAAATACATACATAACATAAAAAACACAATCTACACACTATTTATACATACTATACAATTTAATACCTGTATCTTATTCCACTCATCCATACTGTATCCCACTTTCTCCCCTTTCTTCTCAAAAAATCTCATAATTTTCTGTAGCAGCTTATATTCCTCTTTAAAAGTGGGAGTTGATAAAGACTTTCCTTTTCCTATGCGTTCCACAGCATTCAGGACCGGCAGTGAACAACCATTGGGGACCCTTTTATGAAAATATGTGTTGTTAATACATAACATTATAGTACATAGATACTTTTTACTTACCTCATCTCCGTTTTGAATCTAAACGTGGTCATTGGGATAGATTGACCAAACTTTCTCCTCAGCTTTGGCATCAAGTTGGTCCTAACACGACGATAACGAGGATCCTTACAAATCCGCTGACCTTCCAACATTTTGCCATCCACGTACGTAGCTTCCCAATGTCCATCTTCTTTGTTCATTTTCATAATCAGAAGGGCAAAGTGGTCTTCTATTCGTCTTAAATTTTTCATCTTAGGAGAATGGTCGTAAGAAATCGGGATCAACAGCGTATCTACACCTTCCGGAACTTCGAGTGTGGACGCTGGCGTGATTGTCTTTGTCCCTACAGTGTCAATATAGAGAAAAAATTCACCTGCCTTGAAAAGAAATACATTGGACGGCAATTTAATGTCGGCTATATATTTGTTAAACTGAGCGTCGGTTAATCCTTCCAGTGCTGCGAAATGACCCATTTTTTAAATTTTTAAATAAAATTGGCAAAATTTCCAAAATGTGAATAAAAATGCGGATCATATTTTTATTTCGAATCAACAATTTTATTTATTTTTTACTCATCATATCGACATGACAACAAATTATATCAAATTATATATTACGCCCAACCACGACATGTGGCACAAAATATTTACGAGGAAGGAAAGACCATTCGAATGACAATATGTGACATGCCAACCCCACCCCCTGTGGGTGTGACCTTCGGCGCTTTTGCACATCTTACGCCCAACCACGACATGTGACACCAAATATTTACGAGGAAGGAAAGACCACTCGGAAGAAAATAAATGCCAATTTTACAATGGAAAATATATATATCTTTCCAAACCTTTTATTCATCCATCGTGGACAACTAACCCGGAACATCATCTGGAACAGATGTTAACCTATGTTTTAAATACAAACAAACATCATTCGAACCGTTTTCGTTGAACTCGTGGCCGAGTTGACTTCCGCTGCACTATGTTCCCCTCCACTCTCACTTCTTCACGCTCTTGATCCAATGCAGCTACGATACCAACAGGTAACGACGCTATTGGCTGCAGCTGAGATGTTTCCACCACTTCCGGTATAAATTCAAGCTCAACGCCATCTAGAAATATACAATAAATCAACGCTGCCAAATTAATGTAATTTACTAAATGTTTACCAATCACCGCATCTACAACAGACTGTTGTGGCAGGATTTCTGAAGAGGGAACATTACACGATGACGGCAATTCAATTTCATCCATCAAAGTTCCAAGTTCAAAATCGTCTAAAACCATTACGCTAATCACAACATTGTACAGTGACCATTAGACCTATTACTCAAGAAAAACTAACCCAGAACTTCACCGAGAAAAGAGTTTTCCCCATCTTCCATGACGAATTTTGCTCTGCCATCCAACTCCCACATTTTCAAATTTGCCTGTTCTTTCTCCACATTCTCCTTCTTCACAGTAGTTGCGACCATCCAGTTCAGAAGAGACCGACATTCTTTCACCCGAACACAATCTTCTTTTCTCTTCTTAGCAGCTTGTCGTTTCGCTTCAATCTCCTCTTCTGAACATCTTTTCTCACCACACGACTCCATTACGCCAAAGAAAATCTTCTAGTTTGAAATACTTAATGGAAGAATTTTTTAAATATTTTTTTCTATTTGTTTATTTCCAAACGTGACCCATCAGGTTTAAATAATATTTTTTAGGTCATGGTAACCCAGCGGACATATTAAGTTCAAGGTACAACATAGTTGCTAATGGGGTGGTAAACATACCAACTTCACCGTTCGAACTTCAACCGACCTAACCGATATATCACCCGATACAACCGAATTTATACATAAACTCCATAACATGGACTAATTTATGAAAGCAAATTCAAGTAATGTAGTTCGTCAAAAAATGGAGATATGAATTTTCAAAGTTGATCATGGTTGCCAATGACATGGAAAATATGCCAAGTTAAAAATACGATATATCGGTGGCTTCTGACTTCACCCGATACAACCGATTAATTATATGGAGTACTTTCAATAAAACATTTATTAATATAACTTACATTATGTACATTTAGAATTGCTTCGACAATCCTTTCTCTCCATACTCCCATTTCTGATTGACTAAAATTGAATTGAACACCAGCACACAAACATTTTATAAATAAACACAAATACACTCCGCAGTCCCATCCATTCGTCTGTTTCCGAAAGTCTTCGAGCAAGAAATTTTGTGCCTGCCAACCGATATTCTCTCCATTTACATAGTTCAAGAATTCCAAAATAACCTTTCAAATAAACAAAATTAAAGTAACTATTTATAGGAAATTTATAACATTTACAACCATCATATCCTCAGAATTCTCAAAGTTATTCATCGAGTCGTAAAACGTCACTATTCGAGTTCTCTTGTCACCAACCATCACTGTCCAATGACCATTACGACATCTCGGGAAGATCAGAAGAGTCGAGGAAATTTCTATCTCCTAATATAAAAATTTCATAATATTACTAACCATAGCCAGAATTGTATATTTTCTATACCCAGTTTCGTCGTTTCCATCCATCATTGCTTCGAACGTGCTGGACTAGAAATGCTCCAAAATTATGGAACGACTCCCATCGTCGAATTGCTATGCTCATTTTGAGTACTTCAAGAAAACAGTCGATAGCCTAACCAATTCACAACATTAGAATATGGTATTCATAGGTAAATAAATATAAATTTTCAGTACCCCATCTGTAAGCCAGCCAGTTCGATTACTAATCGATAACAAGTCTGATCTATAGAATCTTAAATTTCCTACTTGAACTAGTACAAGATTCGACAAATCTTGCTGCAATTCGCAAATAAATTCATTAAATTGTGTAAAATGGCTATTTGTTTTAATTCTTTAAGTACCGATTCATTATCATTGTCAGAATCAATTTGAATCTCTTTCTTTGAAACTATTTTTTGCTCAACCGATTTTCCTGCCATCAGATTACCATCCTTATCGTCGAAATTATCCTGTTCGCCATCGAAAATCACAGGACGCTTGCGCAGCTTGCTCATTTCCACAATCACCGGATCATCTGGACCTGGCGCATTTGGCGCTTCAAACTTCCCAGCTATAAATAGTCCTGACAGAGTTGGACATCTACTAAATCCTACGTAAAGTGCTCTTCTAGAAATTTTTCTCATTCCTCCTGTCTTCGTACTGTAATGGACGCTCACAACCACAAATTTGAAAGTAGACCCCTGTCAATTAAAACAATGTCAGTCGTAAGACTTTACAAACATATAACTTTAGCACATCCATTAACCTGACTCTTATGAATACTAATGGCTTCTGCAGGAACAAAAGCAAACTGGGTTCGCACAACTTCTAGGTTTCGTCCCGGCCAGCGATGAATCATACGACTCTCCTTTCCAACCGGGACCCAATCTGATGATACTTGACTTTTCTTTTTTTGTACCTTCTTCAATTTGTTTCCAATTTCTTTGGGGAAATCCATCCAAACTTTCAATGGGACCTTTTCTCCAGTTGTTGTTCGGCCGTATACGATCTTTTTAAGAGTCCCGATCACCCCATTGACCAATCCATCCGATGTGTCTGAATTTACCGTCATCATGTATTTACAGCCTATCTTGAAGTTGATATCCGCTGGCAAATTCTGAGCTTTCTTGGTTGGTAGTTTCTTAGCGGCTTCCCGAATTGCTGTGTGATGCTCAACTTTCCCCCTACCTTGTACGCGATCATTGGCGTAAGAAATGATTCCTTCGCTATCTAGTAGAGAAAGGGCCTTGTTATTGTACGTTTCTACGTCTTGATTTCCATACATCAGTCTAATTGAACCATCTGGAGGTGCCAGTCCATTCAGCTCAACTTCTCGTGATCGAAACATCGCGATATCTTCGTCATTACACATCCCAACTGCGAGTCGATTAAGAGCTTCTGCAAATTTCTTGTCATCTTTCTGTCTCATACACTCTGTCAATTCAAAGAATCTGAACTTCTCCCATAAATAGTTTGATCCCAGTAGCCCCATTCCTTTATTTGGTTCAGCAAATATCCAAGAAGCCATCACAGGTTCTAATTGATGGAAATCTCCGACTACAAAGAAAATAAATCACACTCATTCCGCCTAATGTTATCACATTCTCTTAATTACATATAATTACATACCGGCTAGAATAGATTTTCCTCCAAAATCACTAGGGGACTTAAAAATTTGTCGCAGCCTTTCATCAATTTGAAATAAATGCTCCCGGCTGGTCATCGAAATCTCGTCTATTATAATCAAATCTAAATCCCGGAATTCACTGGCATACTTGTTTCTTGTTGATTCTGTCAACCGAGGCATTGTCCCATCAAACTGGTTAAAAGGCAATCCGAAAGCTTGATGCAAGGTCACTCCACTTATGTTAAAAGCAGCCATTCCGGTACTAGCACACAACAATACTTTTAGCCGAGAAGGGTCCTCACCAACTACCTTTACAGCGTCTCGCATTATTGTTTGTGTAATGGCATTGATAAGCATTGATTTCCCCACCCCAGCTCCACCTGACACGAACTCATAAAATGGTGGGTTACCCCTTCTCACATTCTGTATAACATGATTGTGAAACTTTTCCTGTTTTTCATTTAGACTAGTTATCAATTTTTCATAGTCATCGTCAGCAAGCATTTTCGGCATTTTGATTTTTTGAGCCTTCTCCACTGTTACATTGCCTAATTCCAAACCAAAATCAGCTTCAAGGTCTTGATTGTTGAGGATCCGAAATTCGTCATCGATATGAAGCTTGGGTAAATCTTCCTCAATATTAAGTTGCTTGATCTCATTTTCCATATTACTAATATCCAGACGCTTATCGAATTCTGATTTTACACGTTCAATGTCTACCTGGTTCTCATCGTATAAGCGTCGACAATCTTGAGTCAATATATTACTCTCTTCGTCTCTCCAAGGAAGATACAGCATGACGTTTTCCCGGTAATAATTTTCTGGATCTTGAACTAATCCAAAATTTCGGAATCTAATAATTCTTGACTTTTTCCGTCTTCGAATATATCCAGATTTGTTAACAAGTTGATAAAATTTTGCGTCTTCTTCATCGACTTCAGCACTATGATCTTCATCGTCTGAACCACTTACTTGAACAAGTTCTTTTCCAGGTTTCTTCTTCGAATACGTCCATAAAGCGGCAAACTCAGCCAGTGTACATTCATTTAATTCACGTGGCCGTTGGCAATAATGTTCAAGTAGTCCATCTACGTTAACATCTGTAGAATCTTCAGGCAACTTTTTCAATTCGTCAGCAGACTTGGTAATATACACTCGTTCTTCTGGGAGCAATGTGTTTATGTAAATTGAGTCTCTACTACATCTAGAAAGAGGCATTGACAAGACTGAATAAGCTGCTTCTTGCGCCGACACTTCACTACCGTTTAAGAACACTCGGGAAAACCGTATTAGTCTGTCCTGGCACGAAACATTTCCACCCTTCAGTTCTTGTATAACTTGATTCAGAAGCTCTGACATCCCGCGGTTACTCTTGCTTACATAAGCAGCGCAGTACTTGCAGCAAGCGTAGGGATCCAATATAAATTGTATGTCCATATTCGCCTTCCACAATCTTGCTAAATCTGGATTGTAAGCATTCGTAAAGGCTTCTGTAATTTTTCGTTTAAGAAAAACGGTTGGACGAGATATACTGCTCCGTACAGCCATAATGTACTGTGCTTCATCCAGCCCCAGCAATTCCATAAATTCTTCAAATTCTAAGTTAATCTTGTCACCAACAAGGTACTGGATTTGATCTTTCACAGCTCCAAGATTCTTCGTAGCAACAGACCTCAGACTTTCTGGATATTCAGCTGGAAACGGAAGGAGGATTCGTGTTCTTGCCATTGGTGGATAAGGCATACCGAATCTGCATTTCTTCACCCCCTTAAAAGTTACTTCGCAGCATCTTGTATGCTTGTGTTGTTGGTGAATAACCCCGTCTACATCTACCTTACAAGAAATGTACTTATCGATGAACGCCTCGCACTCCGTCACACTTTCTGGACTATCTTCATTATACTTTGGAGAATTTTTTAACCAAAATAACCCATGCATGTGCGGACTACCCCTATGCTGAAATTCTATCCTAGTGAACGAATCAACAACCGGATGCTCTTTGAAGATGCCATTAGAGTGCAGGAGAATATACTTACTACATTGCCTTAATCTGTAGTCGAAATACCGGCTGCAAGTGATTGGATCTCTTCGAATTAGGTCTGCCTTTTCTTCCCATTTCATTGTTTCTGCAGTGTCTTCTGTAATAATTTCTTGATCGAGAACTTTCTTCAAAATTACGATGAGTTCCACCCACTTCACTTCAGCTGCTGAAAGTGTTATAAACATAGTTGGGATTCCTAGCTGTCGAATCATAGACATCAGGACCTTTTGCTTATCCTGCCAGTATGCTGGGGACGACCGAACATTCCTCAAAACTTTGTAGGCGTCGTCGTGCTGAACCATATTTTCCACAAAGTCTTCGTTGATCAAGTTTGCTGCAGTTGGTTTCCCCCTACCTTTTTTCTTCCTCAAACATAACTGGACTTGACTTGCTATTTGATGAGTTTGAACTAGTTTAAAGGAGTACAGAAGTTTGCTAGGGATTGCACAACGTCTATCTCTATTCCTCGCGTCTGATTTTGCGATATCCGTCCTACTGATCCCAACATTCTTTATTCGGCGTTTTTCTCCGCAATATATTGATGGAAAAGATAAGGCCTCAGCATTCAAATCCGATAAAAGTGAAATAGGTTTCTGATTTTCACCAGGTGCAAACTTGATGGCCTCATTATTTTCGATAGAGTCAAAATCCATCACAAGCGTCTGTTGTCCACCCGGATTTAATACGTCTCCCATCTGGTCTGTTTCGCTTTCATTATGATGATTTTCGGGAACCTTATGCTGTTCAACATCCCGCAACCAGTCATCAGATAACACGATATTTTCCTCTAAATAGAGTTCAGTAGTGGCAACATACTTTGCTACATCATATACGACTTTGGGACGAATACTTTCGAACAAGTACGGATTGTTGTACTCCATCTTCCTCATTAACATCAGCTGAATTACGGAAGCGTCTTCAAAACGTCTTGGAAGAATTCTAGCAGTTTCATTGATAGGGTTAATGACATTGATCACGTTGCCTTTCAGTCCACATTGCCGATCCACACCAAGCTTAGTGATAGTCATAAACGGAATTCTAGCGGCGACTAATCTTTCTTCTAATTGAGTAAGTCCTTCTGGATGTTTCGTAGATCGTGGTCGCAGAACTTCTGGAATAGTAGGGAAACTGAATCCATTTGAAAAGTTGAGCTTAGGAACACTCCCCTGATTAATATGTCGGAAGCATGTTGAGCAGAGTAACCCCTTTTCATTTCCTGGACGTAGCACAGCTACACAGAATTCAAAGCTGTGCTTTTGCACCAACACCGATCGTAGGAATGGCCTCATCGATGATAAGAAGAATAGTCCATCGCAACTAGCACACGCATGATCTGGGCCTTCCTTGATTACCTTCACAAATTCATTGTATATAGAATTTCCTCGTGCAATCCTTCTGCGCTCTGTATCTGATTCTTGCTCCTTCTATAATAAATTAATAAATTTCACCTTCTATTTCGTGCAAATTAAAAACACGGTAGCTTACTCTGCGCCTCTCCTCTTCTTCACGCGCCTTCCTCCGCCTTTCGCTATCAGCAGACTGTTCTGCCTAATTTTAGCGAGAAGCTAGTTAGAACGCCAACTTTAACTTTCAAATGATTCAATGGATAACTTACTTTACGGTTCTCTTCATCCTCCCGTGCCTTCCTCCGCCTTTCGCTATCAGCAGACTGTTCTGCCTAATTGTCAGCGATGAGCTAGTTAAAACGCCAACTTTAACTTGCAAATAATTCAATGGATAACTTACTTTGCGGCTCTCTTCATCCTCGCGCGCCTTCCTCCGCCTTTCGCTATCCGCAGACTGTTCTGCCTAATTGTCAGAAGCTAGTTAACACGCCAACTTTAACTTTCAAATGATTCAATGGATAACTTACTTTACGGTTCTCTTCATCTTCGCGCGCCTTCCTCCGCCTTTCGCTATCAGCAGACTGTTCTGCCTAATTGTCAACGAGAAGCTAGTTAACACGCCAACTTTAACTTGCAAATGATTCAATGGATAACTTACTTTACGGTTCTCTTTATCCTCACGCGCTTTCCTTCTCCTTTCGCTATCCGCAGACTGTTCTGCCTAATTGTCAGCGAGAAGCTAGTTAACACGCCAACTTTAACTTGCAAATAATTCAATGGATCACTTACTTTACGGTTCTCTTCATCCTCCCGTGCCTTCCTCCGCCTTTCGCTATCAGCAGACTGTTCTGCCTAATTGTCAGAAGCTAGTTAACACGCCAACTTTAACTTTCAAATGATTCAATGGATAACTTACTTTACGGTTCTCTTCATCCTCCCGTGCCTTCCTCCGCCGTTCGCTATCCGCAGACTGTTCTGCCTAATTGTCAGCGAGAAGCTAGTTAACACGCCAACTTTAACTTGCAAATGATTCAATTGATAACTTACTTTACGGCTCTCTTCATCCTCGCGCGCCTTCCTCCGCCTTTCGCTATCAGCAGACTGTTCTGCCTAATTGTCAACGAGAAGCTAGTTAACACGCCAACTTTAACTTGCAAATGATTCAATGGATAACTTACTTTACGGTTCTCTTTATCCTCACGCGCTTTCCTTCTCCTTTCGCTATCCGCAGACTGTTCTGCCTAATTGTCAGCGAGAAGCTAGTTAACACGCCAACTTTAACTTGCAAATAATTCAATGGATCACTTACTTTACGGTTCTCTTCATCCTCCCGTGCCTTCCTCCGCCTTTCGCTATCAGCAGACTGTTCTGCCTAATTGTCAGAAGCTAGTTAACACGCCAACTTTAACTTGCAAATGATTCAATTGATAACTTACTTTACGGCTCTCTTCATCCTCGCGCGCCTTCCTCCGCCTTTCGCTATCAGCAGACTGTTCTGCCTAATTGTCAGCGAGAAGCTAGTTAACACGCCAATTTTAACTTGCAAATGATTCAATTGATAACTTACTTTACGGCTCTCTTCATCCTCCCGTGCCTTCCTCCGCCTTTCGCTATTCGTAGACTGGTCTACCTAATTATTAATCATCACTACTAATTAACTTAACTATCATTAGCAAGGTATAATTTAAAATAAGACTAAAAGTTCCGTACTTTACGTATTACTATATCTTCTCTCGCTTTTTTCCTCGCATTACTGTTGGCTACCCGTTCACACCGTCTGTAATCTTCATCCTCCCTTTTTAACTTCTTTAAATTTTTCAACTGAATCTGAGACTGCTTTCTCAATTTTGGCATTATTACTAAAGCGGATTTGGAATGATTTCAGTAGAATAAATCCGAAGAAAGCCGTAAAATTGCAATTTAAATAAAAAACTAAATCAATTAATTACAAACACTTTTCTTATTTTTGTTTACATTATTTATTTCATAGCAACAAATCTTTAATTTTAAATTTAAATTTAAGAATTTCAGTTGGATACCATAGATTTCATTTTATATCTCTTATTACAAATCACTAACACTGTCAAATTTCATATTCTTTCATTAGAAGCCGTCAGAGGCCTATATGCCAAATTTCAAGGTTCTAAAGCAATATTTGAAAATCGGTGTGGGTCACCCTATAGGGTATCTCTGGGTTAAATTTTTCCAAATTTTACTTCAAATTCTTTCATTAGAAGCCATTATGGACCTATATGCCAAATTTCAAGCTTCTAGGATGATTTTTAAAAATCGGTGGGGGTCACCCAACAGGGTCGTATTTGAAAAAAATTTCAATTTTAACTCTATTTTCCTAGTTTATACCTCCAATTGGACCATCATGCTGAATTTCAGCCTTCTACGAATATTTCGAATATTCTGCACCAAACTCAAAAAACCAAAGGGTCCCCCCTATGGTTTTAAAAATCATATGACCCCCACCGGTCAACTACTGGACCGATCTGGCTCATCTTCGAACTTGACTCGTACTTTCACCCGATAAGCACATGGTGAAAATTTCAACCAGATCGGATAAGTTTAAAGAGAGTTATCGTTAGACGGACGGACAGACAGACAGACAGACAGACAGACATGACGGTTACATAAGCCCTGACTCGGGCTAAAAAGTGCAAAAAATTATAGTCGAGTTTCTAGTTGTTAAGGGAGATCGCGACAGGCACCTGTCAAACTTTGACAGAGGTTGGTTCCTGTCGAAATTTCCTTGGTTTTTTTATGCAACAACATTCATAATTAATTGTCAATGTCGCCCTGTAATTGTCAAATTGTCATTGTCGGATTGTCAATGTTTATGCAACAGGCCCCAGGGCGGTTTTAGAACTATTGCATTAACATTTACGCAGTGGAAATTTTTTCAAGGTATTAAAAAAATTACGGAATCTGCAAATGAGCCCAAAAATTGTCTGCAAGCATGTCATGCCGTTGGTAACTGTCTTACCTTTACTGAGCAATTGGAGATCCTGGACAGCGTTGGTCAAATAGATTGTGCTGGTTTCAGTCGCCCAAAACTTTTGATGGTTACAAATTCTCTAACTATAATGTTAATAATTGCCAGATTATGATATTTCTAGGGCAATCGATTTAGCGGTTTTTATTAAAAACCATACAAATTTGACAACTTTCTGTCTGAATGTAGCAGACATAAGGGATAATAATTATGGCTGGATATTTAATTTGTTTTCTAAAAACATTTCAACCTAGTGCGGTATGAATGTGAGCAGACTGGTTTAATTACGATACAAGTGGTCTAATCAAGGCGCCTTATACTCTGTGTCGCTTTCAAGACATGTCTGTGATATTAATATGAACCCGTCCATATTTCTAACGCTGACAACGTGCACCTCACGATTATGTCTCCCAGTTTTAATTAAGATTGTAATCAAATTTTAACAAACAACTATGTATAATGTGTGACCTTTCCGCCTAAGTGTACCAGACAGAAAGGAACGAATTGAAGCAATACTATAATTTAAGCGGTTGTGCAATTTTTCAAAAACGTTTCTTGTGCTGGAATATTACGTCACCCTTCGCGATTAAGGTAGGCGGTTGGCGTAATTTAATTGAATTCTCCGTTTTCCAACATTCTTGTGTACATTTCACCCGAAATAACTGCGTACAGTTTAAATATTGCAACGCCAAAAATGTAGTCCATCTAATACGACAGGTTAAGAGGTGAATTATCCCTGCAGATTGTTTTATTCATTTTCTGGGTAGTACAACATGTTTTCATAAACGCGGTTTCTTCCTTTCTTTCCCTTTTCTATGAATACCGCATTTTAAGCTTTTAAAAATTATCTTTTAAAATTTGCAGCGTGTCCAGTTTTCTGGATTTTTCCAAACATTCACAATGAAACAAATAGTTTTGTAATTTTTCAACCATTCTCGGTGAAACCCATGGTTTTGTGTGAATTTAAATCACCAATGAAAAATTTATAAACTCTTTGCTGTGGCGGTGGACTTGTCCCGTAACTGTAGAATCGTAGTGTTGCTACGATGATATTTCTGGCCTGACAAGACATTTTTGTGAGGCAGGCGGCCATTCCGGAAAACCAGGCGAATCTGAAAAAAATTTAAAAGCTTATATATTTTGATTTAAAAAAATAGTCTCCAACGAGCCATATTATTTCGTCCGGACTGACAGTTGCGATGACGTTTAAAATCGCTTCGACAATCGCAAATATGCATTGATGTTTGTTCCCGGGGGGATGTACACGTGGAAATTATATATATCTAAAACTAAAAAGAAGAATTGGCAGAAAATAATTAAATAAATAACTGTATTTTCAAATTTAACTAGTTCTTCTTTACGTTATGACTTTATTAATTACGTGCTATGGTTTTTAAGCCAATATATACAGAGGTTACACGGCTGTAAATTCTAGGCACTTTTTCTACTACTGATGGTACCCAGCGGGCTTCCGCGAGCCTAAATTATTCTGGGTAAATTAACAAAATCTCCAATGTTTAATAATACAGAATGCAAAGTAGAACTTCGAAGTTTTTACTCACTAGAGAAAATTTACAAATATATGCTGATTTGGGTATGTATCATTATACATATGTATGGACAGTAAGAAAGACGCGAGATATGTAATCGTAGTATAATATTGGACATAAGTTGTCCAATCTGTATACGATGACAAAATGCAAAGGTACTGAGTCCTATTATTCTCATGTCTTTTTAAAATGATGAGATAAGGATTTCAATCCTTCGAATTGGGTGCTCCTTTAATACCGATAATATTAAGTTGGACAATTTACTCATACAAAGGGTGAGAGATTCGTATAAGACCATCTAGCCCCAGACATATCTTGATAACCGTGAGTCCGAGTATTTTGAATTTTTGAACACGCACAAGTCAATTCATTAGCGTGAAGTACTAAAAATTTCAAAAAATTCTGTCCACAAATGGGTCACAAAATAAATCCGGAAGTGGAGATATCCGTTTTAATACTTTTAAGGAGTGGTTCCTCACAACGAGACATCCAAAAACATCTTAAATGCAGTGATATCCAGTTATCAAAGGGCGCAATTCATAAAATAATACATGGCCTACGAAATAAAAGAAACACGATCAATGCTGGACTTCCCATACCTTCAAATAATGATCCCCCAAAAAAAGCCTCAAAAACGGTAATCCGGAAGATTGACCGTTTAACGTCCAAAGAGAATCCACCCGGTCAACGAACCATAGCAAACATGGTCAAATTGTCACAGAGACATGTCAGCCACATAATAAAAGTAAAATTAAAAAAAAATCCACCGGAAGAGGTCCGTTCATGTTCTGAAAGACTCCCACAAGGCAAATCGGACAACCACCGCTAGGCGCCTGTATGAGGACCACTTGGCAGGTGACAAATCCGAATTTGTTGTCACAATAGATGAAGCATAATATTACCTCCAAGGCTGTAACGGGACTAGGAAAATCTGCTACACCCGAAGCCAGGAGGAGGCTGAGAAGTTTGGCTGTCCTAAGAGAGAGAAGTTCTCTGAAAAGATTATGGTTTTGGGCGCAATAACAAGTCGTGGAGTCCTCCATTTAATCAAAGTCTCCCAAAACACCAAGATTAGTTATGCCAGATATGTAAATGATGTCCTGAAACCACTTTTGAAAAAAAAATTCCAAAACTCTACCCCACAGACTACGACAAAGTTGATGTACATCACGAAAAAGCGACCTATCACATTGCCACATATACCCAGCGATACGAAAAAAACCTTGAGGTCTGGCGAGGCACAAAAATTATCAAAAAATACCCTGATCCATGTCAAGTCACCTAATATATCTCCAATGGACTTCTTCGGGTTTGGTCACTTGAAACAAAAAATGTTTAACAAATATCCATCCACAAAAAATGGATTCTGGAAACTTTTGCAAGACGAGTGGAGGAAAATCACCCCTGAAATGTGTCAAGGGGTATTTTCGGCGTGGAAAAAACGTTGTCGGACTGTTGCCCAGGTGCATGGGGAACACATTGAGCAAATTAAGGATATTCACAGACATCGTATTTAGGGTAATTTTTTGTGTTCTTGACCTGGTCTTATACGAATCTCTCACCCTTTGTAATTTATCAAATTTTGTTAAATTGATAGGAAAAGATTACTCCGGTTATGTTTCAATTAATGAGTGTTTCTGATATTTTTATTTCTTCAAGAAATGAGGAGATACTTACAATGCGAAGGCATGAAGTGATACACCCCGATCTTGATGGGACTAATTCTATTATGTTCACAATCAAAAATAAGTAGACCCGTATTTTTTCTTTCCCAAGAATGCGCGCATTTAAGCGCGTGGCGCCAATTTCAAATCTTTTTCCAGCCAAAATTTAAGATTTTCAAATGGCTTTAACTTTTCGAATTTTTCCGCGAATTCAAAAAACCAAAAACATGTATGCTTAGAACTACTTCCTTTACAATATAAAAATTCAAATTCAAAAAATTTTTAAAATTCGAATTTTTGTCGAGATTTCGTATATTTCGAAAATTCGAAAAATGGATAAAAATTTGAAATTTTAAATTAGGCTAGTAATTTTATTATTTCAATTAATTACTCGGACAGTATGGACACTTGTTTTTTTAATATGATTAGACTTGAGAACACCTTATTTTGATTTTCGATAATTTGCTTTGTTTTTATCGATCCTTGGAAATTCTTTATTGGTTATCGATGATACATCCAGCCCCAATGTATTTCAAACGCCGAGGTCAGAATTAGATACATATGATGGCAATTTTGTAGTATGTGAATTGTGCCATCAAATATGATTGTGCCAACAAATTCAAAAGCTATTAAATTTGG